GCTCCCTACAGGTCCAGACCATTGCGGAATATTCCTCTTTGGAGGTGGATCCCATCCTCCATCCTTTGTAGGTCTTTCTCTTTATCTGCAGGAGGTCTGCTATTTCCCTGCAGAGCCAAGGGGGCTGCTGTGCCCTTTTGCTGCCTTTCCTCCAAGATGGAATAGCATTAGCTTGTGCATCCAGGATCGCTCTATTGAGGAGCAACCACTCTTCCTGAACTCCCCTCCCCTTTGGGTCATGGTCCCTTAGGGCCTCACTGACAAGCCTCCTGAGCTTGTCAAAGTCAGCTTTCCTGAAGTCGAGGACTTCTGTATTGCTGATGTCTTGCCAGCTTTACGGCAGATGGTGAAGTTGTTCAGCTCGTGATCACTGTCACCCAGCTTTCCATCAATTGTTAGGTCGCCGATTAGGTTGTCCCTGGTTGCCAGTACCAGGTCGAGCAGTGCTTTACCTCTCATTGGCCCATAGACTTCTTGAGTCAGACAGAGGTCATCCACGCACAAGAGGAAGCTGTGTGACTGCTCAGATTTAGCCGAGTGCTCTTCCCATAAGATGTCTAGGTAGTTGAAGTCTCCCATGACAACCAAAAAACAAAGGTGTTTACTTTTAGGGTGCAGGCTGGTGATTATGCAGCCGTAAGTCTGGAAAAATCTTTTTTTCTTCTTTCTATCTTCTATTTGGGGAGGTGTGGTATGTGAGAAAATATGGTACTACAATGGAGAGTATGGTGCCCTACTCTATAGAGAGAACCAGATGTCACTCTGCAAGGATAACTTAGTCTTTGTTTATCTTTTTTTCTTAATATACATTAAAAAAGGGACTGGAGTCTGATATCAGTTATATGGGTGTAACTCTGGAAAGACTCCATTTCACCAAAGGAATGAGTCCGTCCTCACAATGTGTATCTCGATGAGGACTGTAATGGTTTTGTTACCTTTTCCAAATAGGGAGGAGACTAGCCATGGACTATACTCTGGAGGCCACCCATCATAAGGAGAAACTTCTGAAGACTGTTCATGCCCTCCAGGTGAAATCAGACACTACACTCCAGAAGGCAAGCCCACTTCTGAGCAACCACCGGGGAATGGGCATGGTGACAGAGCACCAAGTCCACCAGCTGGCAGAGAAAGCCAAAGGCATCTGTCGTGACTTAGACAACATCAAAAACCTCCTCTACTATCGACAGAATAACCTGGTGCAGCAGATCCCCAACCCCAATGGCAGCAGTTATGGGGGACCAAGTGGAATCCATTGCTCACTGGATGGCTCTATCTACATAACTAGTGAAAATGCACCCTGTGTCCACATCCTTAGTTGCTCAGGCCAAACTCAGCAGCTCCTACCATGCATAGAATGGGGAAGGGAAAGTGAGGCCTTTTTGCCAGAAGATGTGACAGTGACAAGGTCAGGGATGGTGGCTGTAGCTGACATGTTGAACAGAGCCATCCGTGTCTTCAGCCATCACTCCAGGTTCCCCAAAGGAGAATGGATAAAAATTGGGAAGGTCAATTCCCCCAGGGGCATTGGAGTGGACTCAGCAGGAAAGATTCTGGTTACAGACTACACTCAAGGCAAAGTCCACAGCTTTGCATTGGACCATGCCTTTAAGATACTGAGTACTCACATGGTCTCTAACCTTTGTGGACCCCGTTATGTCAGCCTGGGACCTGATGGTGGATTTCTTGTGAGTGAGGAATGCGGTGATGTCAAGCTGTTTAATAACCAGCACAAGATGGTTTACTCTCTTGGCAGCAAATATGGACATCAATTTGGCAACCCTTCCGGGGTCTGTGCTGACATAGAAGGTAACATCCTTGTGGCTGATGAGCAGCACCGAACAGTCCACCTGTTCCCCAAGAGCGGTTCTCCCATCTGCCTGGTGTCTGAAGGGCTACGGAAACCAACAGGTCTGACTTGTTCCACTTCTGGACAGCTTTTAGTAGCAGACACTGGGGACAATTGCATCAAAGTCTTTAAATACCGTGTGAGACCTGCCTACAGTTCTGATGCTCCTTGGGTGTCCTGTGACAGTCCCAACTTAACCCCCAGACAGAGGACAGGATAGATGCCACTATAACCACAAGTAACTCATTTTTTTGTCAGTTATTGTTATGGCCCAGTCACCCTCATTGTGGTACCCCATGTTTTTGGCTTTCAGTGACTCCTGCTGGTAGAGGCAAGAAATAGAACATATGATTTCTACCTGAGTTACCTAGACTGCGTCAATGGCTTTACAATAGCTGAAGAAGTGTTATAGATTACCCAGAATCTTCCCTATACTTCTCTTTGCTGTTGCTTTCCTGCTGAACATAAAGTTTGTGACTCTCCAGATGCCAGAATGGCTATGTATCTTAAACATATGCTCCCCTTTCAAAGTGGCTGTGGTTTCATGTTTATGGCATTAAGGAACATGTTGTGTGAATTGAGGATCAAGACTAGGACTGACAGAATATGTTATTGTCTACAGTGCTTTGTTCACAATAGACTTTATTTGAATGGGGTAACATTTTAAAGATCTCTGCTTATCTGTGGTTCTGATGTTCTTGCCTGGCCATAACTGGTAAGAAACTAGCTATGCACAGAAGGAAAGGCTGAGCAACACAGGTAAGGAGAATATCCACAAAATGCAAGGCATTTCATACTAGAGCAACTGAAAAGATTGAGAGACTGAATTCAACATATTTCTGCAGTGCACATCATACACACATACGTATATGCACAACTGGAGAATGAGTGCCTCACAATTCAGCAGTGAATATGATTCCCAACACAAACATAAAACTGGGAATGAGTACCCTGTACTTTTGTAGTGCAGCTCTCATATGTATACTGCATACACACATAATCACATGCCTCACACATTAGCAGTGAGCATGATACACACAGACAGAACAAGCACCGAGGAACCTCACTTCTGTAAAGAATTCTGCAAGTACATGCTCCACAGCTGGCCCTCAGTGCCATATGCCTTCACAGCGAGCATTAGGGAACCCAAAGCTGGGACTCAGCACTTCCGCATTGTGTGACACACATTTTCCACCAGCTTGGAATTCAGAGACCTTGCTTCGGAGAACTACACACATAAGCCTTATCAACAAAGGGCAGTACCATGCAGAATGGGTGTGGGAGAGGAGAGGAGAGGAAAGGCATCCCACCGAGGAGGTGTGGGTAACGGTTCCTTTCAGATACCACCCAGGCTTCCGGCTAAGACCTGTTCCCCCTGAAGCAAACAAGAATCTGCAAATAAGGGGCCTGGTTTGCCCCTAGTGTAACTCAATTATGGAATTTTACAGGGCCCTGGAATTTGTGCCAAATAACTGCCTGATCTGAAATAACAACAAACTGCAGTCTTGCTTCTTTCACCCCAACAGATTTTTCCTCCTACCCTGCCAGGGCACCCTCTACAAAAGTGCTGGCCTACCTGGTGTGCTTTGGATCACCCCAAAACTCTCTTGTAGAACCATGGCAGGATAAAAGAAGATGGCAAAATAGTATGGACAAAATCAGATAGGTGAATGAATGGTTCAGGTGTGGAAGATGAGCGTGCGACTATCCTTTCACTCCCATCTGTTCCTCTTTTCCCCAGCATCCAAAACAAACCCCCTGGCTCCAAGGTTTGAACTCCAGCATGAAAGACCCATCTGCCACAAATCTTTTAACACCTTCCCCTCTAATTCTAAGATGTCCAAAGCTGTCCAAAATACTGGTGTATGCTCCACACTCCCCAAGCCACATGGCATTCATAAAAAAGGATGTTCTAGTTTGGAGGTCCAGCAAATATAATTACTTTTTTAATACATGTGCCAACCTAAGACAGCCTGAAGAATTGTGCACGTGTGTGCACATTGGGTACATGTGGGACAGTGGGAGTCTAACCAGGTGGATAAAGACACAGGACAACTTCACTGTTATTTAAGGACTGCACAAGGGACCCTGTTTGCCCATTACAGCATGAGAAGAACTATTTTAGACTCAATGTCCATTGCTCAGATCTTGTGCTGAGGGGGCACCCTATGAATAAATTTGATATGCTGACTTTTTCAGTGGCCCAGAAAATGGTTGCATCAATTAGTTTCAGGATTTCAAGAGTTAATCCAAGCAGGTCTCCCTTATCAGTAGGCCCAGCCCGCTGTTGTAGCACGGCAGTTACAGTGTGAACTTAGCACACCATGCTCAGTGATATAGTGAAGACTCAGAAAAAAGCAGATAAGAGGGTAAGTTCATTTCCAGCTGCTCCTGGCATGGTTTTCATTTGTAGCACAGGCTCAGTACTAAGGACTAGGTCTGCACCTGCTACAGTCAACGCAAATGCTCTCACTGAAGGCTTCTGGGGGACAAGATCAGACATCGAAAGCTCAGGTAAATCGTGTCTCTGAGTCTGCTTAAACCTCTTGGCTGCCAAAATACAGGGAAAGGCAAAGAAGTAACCAAGAGATGTGCTCTGGGATACAAGACGTTTAAAACCATTTTTATTTTAATTTTATTTTGAACTGAAATTTAGAAATAAAACTATCATTTGTATTTGTTACAATTTAAAATAACTGTTGGGTTAAAAAAACCCTCCCTTTTATGTAAAATTGAACATTACTTTTGGTTTTTATCAGGGAAAACTGGAATACAAATGTTGATTTCCCACAGGAAATTTTTTTTTTCATCAGAACTGACAGTTTCAAATGAAAAATTGTATTTTTAATAAAACCATATTTTTGATCAGGAAAACTTTAAATTCAAAAAGGTGTTAGCCCTCTGTAAGAATGAAAGTGCTTCCTTCCACATGTCTCCACATACGTCTGGTTCCAGAACCTCAATCAGCCTGTGCACCAGGAGGCTGCCATTTAGGAGAGTCTGCAAGACTGAACAAAGGTAGGCCTTGGAAAGCCTTGAGGTTGTATACCATTTAAGTCACGGTGTTGTGTCTGCAGTATGAAGACATTATGAAGATAGTGCTGCCACATTTGAATGCTGCCACATTGAAAGAATCATGAGCTTGGATAAAAAAAAACATGAGGTTTGGGGTTTTTTTAAGTACATTTTGGGTTTTCTTTATTTGAGATCAACCCTGTAAAAATCAGGCAACTGTAAAAATGTTAGGATGAGTGGCATCTAAGATCCCTGTAAGTGGGGCTTGTGTGCCATTAAAAAAAGTCCATAGCTAGTGAAAAGTGTGTGAGACATGCTGGCACAGTTGTCACACTGTGTTCTAAGGCAGTGGTCTCCAAAGTGGGGTGCACAAGACGATCCATTGGGGTGCGGGAAGAAAATATTAGAACTTCTATTTATATTTATATAAATATACATATATTGGGGGTGCATGCTCAAAAATTTTTTACTGATAGGGGTGTGCGATCAAAAAAGTTTGGAGACCACTGTTTTAAGGTGCTGATTTCTGAAGGACAGCTTTTGAAGGATGGTGATTACAGGGCTCACCAGGGCCATCTACATGTGTTTTTTAATGTGCAGTAGCCTATTCTACTGTGTATTAAAGCAGTGCTTAAAAAACAGGCTAATGCACTAATGTGCAATAGAATAGGCTACTGCACATTCAGTGTCACCTAAAAAGCGCTTAACACAACCTAATGTGCATTTATTTAGTACCTCATACTGGCAGCATTAGCACTGGCATCATTAGGGTCCCTAAACATGTTCCTGCGCTGAAACTTTCACACTTTTATTCAGTCTTGCCCACTAGTACTGCTTCTTAAAGTCCCATCTCCTGCAGTCATATTATTGCCAGAGTCTCAGTATTTCTAAAGTTCAAAGATCTCCGCTCAAATAAGCACAAATGATTATTTTTCAGCTAATCTCATGATTTGTGAGGGCTGACTCCTGATTTTGGAACATGTGGGGTGACAGCACTAGCGTCATTAGGGTCCCCTTAGCTCAGTGCCTGCCTGCACCCTAAAGGCAAATATCTGATGCCCACAGCTGGCTCCTGGCACTAAATGAAGGGCACAGAGTGGGAGCTCCCCCGACAAGACGTGTGTGGGAGGGAGTGGAAGCTGGTGGCCCTCTATTCTAGCCAGGCCCTTCACGCTGTTAAGGTGAAAGGGGACACTGGGGTTCAGAGGTCTGGGGGGTGGGGAAGCCCCGCGAGGCGGAACCCTGGAGCCACGGCCTTTGTTGCCTGCCCGGGACCCATTTGAGAGCGGACGGCGCGGACTCCTCCGAGCGGGGGACCGCGTCACCTAGCAGCAGGCCAGCAGCACCCGGAAGTGACTTGAATGTCAAGAGGTGCCGCCCGGTGGTCGCTAGCAGGGTAGGGGGGCGCTGTTCCCTGCAAGCCGGCCGGGGCGGCGTGGGGGGCAGGTCGCTGCACGGGCAAGGGGCCGGGGAGGCTGAGGGGAGTTGCTCAGGGGCCGGGGGCGGGGCCCGCCCTGTGCGGGAAGGGGTCGCCCTGGGGCCTCCTGTGAGCTGTCCGCTCTACCCCGTCCCCTCCCGCCCTGGCAAGGGCGTCCCCCGGGGAGCTCAGGCCACAGCCCCCCGTCCCGGGTGCTGCAGCTCTCCGCCTGCTCTGCGTGAGGCGGGAGTCTCTGTCCTGTCTGTGGTGAGCTGGAGCAGTGTGGCAGGGGCCCATTCACACAGGAGCTGATGTGTGGCCCCCAGCTAATTTCACACTGGAATAAAACCATCTTCGAAATGGCTCCAGCTCCTCAGCACCATGCAGAAGCTCTCTGAACATGGAGGGTTATAAGGAAGCCGAATGAACTAGTCTAGTTTTGCCCGGTTGAAGGCTCCAGGGCATTGCAGCAGGCCTGAGGTCTGGATTGGAGTGTATTCCTCCTCCAGGCTCACACTTTTGCTTCAGATATATCTAGAGGGTTTTGTGTGCCAGGGAGCCCTAGCCAAGCTCCCAATATACCTGACCAGGAAGGAGGCTCTGGCTGGGAGGACCCCAAGGCCATTTTCCTGTCCCTGATTCATTAACATTTCTAGGCAGAGTTTCACTGGTTTGTGTCCACTGGCTCCTTGGATGCGTTTGAGGGCCACTGGGCACTGTCCGGTGGGCTCAGTGCCATGTCCCCTTTTAGTGCACCTGTTTTAAACCTCTGACCTCACTCCTGTCCCTGTTTTCTCTGTTGTTTCCAAATCAGTTGATGTGTCCTCAGTGGCCTCCCTACTAAGGGAGGCTTACGGTTCTTCCCTGATGGGCCCAAGCCCATGATCCACGAGGCACATCAAAAGGCCTGTGTCAGGAGCTCCACAGAGCAAATCCTGCCTGTGGATACAGAACCTCTATTAGCTATGGGTTTGTGCAGACACTTTATAGAGCAGCATTTGAACATGAATCCATCGTTCAGGGTGGGAATTCAATTTTGTGCCCTTGTAGGATGCCAGCAGAACAGCCCTGGGAACTGAAGTCCTATATTCAAAGCAGGTACAGCATGGAAAGTGATGGTTCACATTTCTTTTTCTGGACACGCTGTCGGGGGGGTCAGAAGGGAGTCCAGGTTCATTCAGTCTTTGGCCTCATCGCTAAGAAAGTAGATGAGGTGGCTGATGTCACTTTTCAAGGTGGGTTTTTGGTGTTGGCAGCAGTCTGCTTGGGTGGAGAGGGAGATCCCAACACATTTCATTTTCATTCATGAACAGTCAATGACTAGCAGCTTTAACTCACTTTTAGCCTTTTCTGGATTGGAGCTGGCAAACATTGAGATGAATGTTCCTTATCCATTACCAGGCCCTAGACCAATCCAGTCATTTGTGAATATTTTTTCAAAGTGTAGATCTCTAAGTAGAGTGGGGCTGGAGCAGGTGCTGCACAGCCAGAGCGGGCAAGGCGCGGGACAGAGCCATGAGCTGCTTGTCTGGAGGGTGTGGCAGACAGGGGGCAGCACCTGCCCTGCATGCACACCAGGAGGGCATGGGGGGCGTGTGCCCCCCCCCTGCACACATCTGCTCCCTGCTCCCACATACTGGGGGCAGGGAGTAGCAGGTCAGGAGTGAGGGGCACCACCAGAGATGGGGGCATGGAGGGCTGTGGGTTGGGAGTGAGGGTCACTAGCAGGTCCAGGGGGCTGTTTTCAAGTTAAACTGTTTACTGTGTCAGGACTGGCCCTCAGTGTTTACAGATGGATCCTGGAGAGCGTGTGCGCCTGAATTGGCGTGCAGGGTAGGGAAGGATGCCCCTGTGGGCTGGGGCGGGGGGCTGCACTGGGCTCTTCCCAGCAGGGGGCTGGGGTGGGCTGGGCTGAGCTTAGGGTGTGCAGCAGCAGCACTGGGAGGGGGCACTGGGGGGGCCTACAGCGAATTGTGGTGGCTGCAGCCCCACCCCCATAGCTGCCCTCTCAGCGCTGCCACCACCCATCCTGAGCACAGTGCAGCCCAGCCCAGCCCCCCTGGTATTTACTCATTGTGTTTTTACTGGGTCAGTGAAAATATACAAATCAATTTTCTTTTTCTTTTAAATATTCCATTTCTAGTAAAATTCCCTTTTAAGTTTTCAGTCAGTACTGCAATATACTGAGTGTGTAATTGTTGCAGGAGATTTTTAATAGGGTAAGATTCATAGATGTTAGGGTCAATAGGGGCCTCAGTAGGTCATTGAGTCTGACCCCCTGCCCTGGGCAGGAAAGAGCACTGGGGTCAGATGACCCCAGCTAGGTGTTTTTCCAGTCTGCTCTTGAACACCCCCAAGGTAGGGGAGAGCACCACCTCCCTTGGAAGCCCATTCCAGATTCTAGCAACCCTTACTGTAAAGAAGTTCTTTCTAATGTCAAACCTAAATCTGCTTTCTGTCCATTTGTGGCCATTGTTCCTAGTTACTCCAGGAGGTATCCTAGTAAATAGAGCATCTCATATTCCCTGCTGCTGTCCTCTGATGAATTTATAGGCAGCCACAGGATCACCTCTCATCCTTCTCTTGAGAAGGCTGAAGAGATCTAGGTTCCTCAGTCTCTCCTCGTAGGGCCTTACCTGCAGGCCTCTGACCATATAAGTTGCCCTCCTCTGAACCCTCTCAAGATTCTCCGCATCCCTCTTGAAATGCGGTGTCCAAAACTGAATACAATACTCCAACTGTGGTCTGACCAGTGCAGCATAGAAGGGAAGGATCACCTCCCTGGACCTGTTTGTCATGCATCTGCTAATGCGTGATAAAGTACGGTTAGCCTTGTTGATCACTTTGTCACATTGATGACTCATGTTCATCTTGGAGTCAACTATGACTCCAAGATCCCTTTCTGCTGCTGTGCTGCTGAGAAGGTCATCCCCCACCCTGTAAGTGTATAGGTGGTTCTTTTTGCCTAGGTGCAGCACTTTGCACTTGTCTTTATGCACTGCATCCTATTTCATTCTGCCCATTTTTCCAACCTGTTCAGATCTGCCTGGATCCGTTCCCTACCCTCTGGTGTGTTAACTTTGTGAACTTGGACAGGGTGCTCTCTACGCCCTCATCCAAGCCACTGAAGAAGACAGTGAATAGCACCGGTCCAAGGACCAAGCCTTGCGGGACTCCACTGCCCACATCTTTCCAGGCTGATATCGACCCGTTCACCGCCAAATAAGTTTACATTTAATATATATTTTTAAATTCTTGGAAACATTTATGTTGGCCTTGTTTCTTAAAAGTGTTCTATTTGTTTTCCTTTTTCTGTTACTAAAACTAAATTTTGCACACAAGAAGACTCCTTTAACAGTCTTAGGCTGGATATGGGGAAAACTGTTGGGGTTGTTCAACAAAAGGCCCACTGTCTTTCAAAAAGGAAATTACTTTTGTAAGAAGACAGGTTTTATCACTGTTGGTGCAGAGTGGGTACATATCAATGTTCTCAGTCTGGGAAGACACTCCCTAATTTATAGTAAAAGAATGGAACAATTTCCTCCCTGTTCCCTCTTTCCTGCTCCTTCGTATTTTAATAGATTTGATAAGTATGTCCTAAGGTTTCTTTAGCCCATTTGGCTCTCTTAATTACTATGGTTTAGTGGATGAGAGACTGTGACCTGAGCTTTTTAGCTATAGCCTTTAGCTCCCTTTATCTCCTTCAGCTCATTTTGTGTATTGTACCCACCTTTTACCAATATGTCACTTCTGTCATCTTCTCTTTCCACACTCACTGCTCGTTTTCATAATGTCCTTCTACGTCCCTCATCTCTGCTTGAGGCCTGGCCTCCTTTTCTTATTTGTTGGTGCTTTCCTAAGACCTTTCTTCCTCAAAGCCTCCATAAATCAGAGATTGTCCCTCTGGCTAAGGAGACCTGGGAATGCTTCCCTGGTGAGCTGGAGGGGACTGTCAGACAGTGAGGTGACCAACTCCCCTCAGGAGCTAAGGGTAGTGCTCACACTTCTACATCAATATTGTTAAACAGAAAATCTCTGTGGATGCCCACATGCCCTGTAATTTATGCCCTGGTTTGGCCTCTGCAGGTTTGAAGAGAAAGGGAAAACTCCAAGAAATTAGCCCTTGATAATAACAACTGTGTGCTCGTCCCACTGCCAGCAATGGGCCACATGCCAAGGAAGCTTCACCTTTCCGCCTCAAGGGGCTGAGAACTCAACCGTGAGCAGGCATTTCCTATTGCTGTGTTTAGCAGGCCTCTAGCTCTCCAAGTGAATGAATCACTTGAATATGTTGTTCCCCACCAGCCACTCCATCACAATACAGCTGGTGCTTTTTCCATCACAAATTGCCAGATGCATAGACTTGATAGATCAGTTGTATTTTATTAAATAAAGAGAAAAACAAATACACCAGAGACCTCCTAACATGTTATAAATATACTGTGTGCGGATTTCTGTTTCCAATTGACTGGTCCCATCACAAAGAATCCAGCCTGAGGGGTCCTGGAGTTGTCATATCCCTAGCACAGCAACGAAGGACAGAAAAGGACGAACAATCTCTGGATGCTGATTTATCTGTGCCAGCTCCCTCCTTGTTGCAATTACATTTTTATTAGATACTTCCACATTATTTAAACACTGTCCACTAGTTCACAGCTCAAAATGTATTTATTTTTAAACTGAATTTAAATGATGGGATTAGAAAGAAATATTCCCCTTACAGGCAGATTATTATACAGCTGCTCATATCCTTCTCCTTTCTCTTGGAGAACCCAGTATTAACCACTTGCAGAGGCAAGACACTGAACTAGAAAAACCTCTGGTTTTAGCCAGCCCAGCAACTTGTATGTTCATTAGTGTAACATTATGAAAGACTGTTTCAAGATTGGAGTTTCCAACACAAGGTTATTCCACCAGTCTCACTAAAATGTCATTTCAAGAACTTGTGTTTATCAGAAGCTTGCCAAATACCTCTCTATTGTCTATGATTTTAAATGCCATTGGGTGCATCTACATGAGACGCTACTGCACAGCCGTTACTGTGCATTTATTTAGTACTTGCTAAATAAATACAAGTACTTAGCAAGTACTAAATAAATGCTCAATAACTGGAGTTACTGTGCAGTAGCATCAGCAAACATCTTTTAGGTGATGCTACTGTGCAGCAGCCTAATAATACTGCACAGTAGCATATTAGCATTGTCTGTGCTGTGACATTACTGTGAATTATTTTTCAGCTAGTGTGTAGTCAGCAGCAGCTCGTGTAGATGGACCCAGTTTGTGGTATTGGCTAACGTTAGGTCCTTAATCTCACTGCAGAGGCGATTCTTAGCAAGTGCTTGAATTTGGTGATTAGGAATGACACTGGGTCTTCATTCCAGTTGTTTTCATTTAATGCAGATACTTTTCTGGACTTTTTACTGCAGTCTATAAGTTTTTGGGTTGTTGTTTTTTATTGGCAGGTAGAAAGTTCTTCAAGTATTCCTATGGTGGTACTGAAGGTCTTCTTCCCCTCTTGCTGCTCCTCAGCAGAAAGCGGTCTTTTGGTTGGCCACTGGATCCCAGAACAGAATTCTGCAGTTATCCTGGCTGTGGTCCATTTTCCTTTTATTCCTGTCCAGGTGAAGCAATACCTCTCTGAAGTCCGGCAAGTGACTCAGGTCAATGTTTCTGTACTGGGCACATGGAGTAACTGCAAAAAGAAGGAAGAGAGCTTGAGTGAGTTCCTGGAAGATCTTGGCACAATCTTTTCCCATGAGCCATGGATTCAGCTTTGCAAAGAGACAGACAGCAAGTTTTGGAGTTGTTCTATTATTCAGAAACACCCCAGTACTCCCAAGGAAGATGAAATTATATTGGTGTATTATGACCAACGCAAAGTAATGCTTTCGCACCTCCATCCCCCAAGGAACCTGACCAACTCCACTGATCACAAAGCAGAGGATGCCTCAAAACTAGCTGTCATATTTGACACAGTGGCAAAGAGCAAGGTACTGTTTATGAAAGACAGATATGATTATGGGCCCATCAAGCTGACCCATTGGCAGTCAGAAGGAGTAGAAGCCAGTATAATTGTGGAGCTGATGAAGCAAGCTTCCATTCCTGTGTGTATGCTGCTGACATTTCTGCTTTCATTTGTCTCCAGTGTCTGTAAAAGCAGGTATGGCTCAGCTTATGTGTTTCATGGAAACTTAGGGAAAGATTTGCTGGAAACAGGCAAAATGCATTATGGTAAAATCTCTTAACTAAGTTGTGTAAGGGGCCATGTGACTGCCATTGAAGGTTCTACTTGTACAGGTGTCCAGTTTGATCACTCGGATTTCTTGGCTAACTGAATCAGTTTACCACAGTGAATATAGACTATACAGCATCCGTATCAAAACAAGGGGTGTCATTTCAACATAAAGAGCTGCTATTAATAGTAGCTCTGTGCTTTTCAGAGTCAGAGGGAGGAAAGTAACTGTGATTGTTCCCCTGAAATCTTCAGGACACTCCAATTCAAGAAATGCTGAAGGAGTTGCTACTTACTTGCTTGTGTGAGGTTCCAGGGGCAATAGATAGTACAGGGAGACCCTGGGTGGAACCTGCTATTGAAGCCAAGTGAGCATGGAGAAGAAAGTAATATCTTGGGAGTCTGGTCCAATGCAAAGTACATGGCTGCTGTATTGGTAGCTATTATCTCTAAGTGTTTCCTCAAATTTCATGAGATTCTGAAAGGAGCTGTGAACTAAGCTGAGCTAATTTCAGTTTTCCCTGGGGACACCCACTCTGCCTTAGCTTCATGCATTTGTTTTCTCCAGTTACTCTCCATGGCAAATGATCTATTATTTCACCCCCTGGGTTTTCAGCCCACAATGGCTTAATCCCTACTTACTCTGAATTGCCCCTGAGGCTGATGAACACTGTAAAGCACTGGCAAACACTGCCTCCAACTCCAACTTTTTTCTGAAGTCAAAGAGTGCTGCTGTACCCCAAGGCTGAATTAGCAGGAAGTTAATGGGAGGACACTGGACCATATACATCCTTGATGAATCTTTATTGACTTACGTTGGTGTACTAGCTGCAGTGGAGTTTCACCAAGGTGAATGTACTGCCTCCAGTGTCATGTTCTTCAAAAGCTGGCACCAATGTGCAGTTCCAAACAGATCTGAAAGAAAAAAGCCCTTCTATATAAAGCTTACAAACATGGCTGGGCAATCCGTCTAGTGAGATTGTGTTGCACTGTCAAAAAGTGGATTGGGTTTCAGTTTCCAAGCTGCAAGAGGACAGTTTGATTAATCAGATTTTGATAACAGCTACTAAAGCATTCATGGGCCAATCTTTTCAAGTATAGCCTCAAGGTATGAGGAATGGAATCCTTTAACATGTTTCTAATAGTATAATACTGTCATAAAAATTACAGTGAACCATTTCATACACAACAGTTGGCTTTTTCTGTCTGATATATAAAGCTAAAACTGTTATTTTTGTATTTGAGTTAGTGTAAATTGAGGGTAAGCAGAGGCCACTGATTTGTAGGATGGCACTGTTTACAACAGGTCTTTATTTGTGATTATAGTCATGTGGAACTATTAAGCAGTGGTGAGAGCACTAAATTGGAGTTCTGGTGTTTAGAGTTCTCTTGCCACCTCTCCATTGCCTCACTCTGTGGCCCAGGACAAATCACTGTCTCTCTGCAGCTCAGTTTTCTCCTTTGTAAATTGGATGTATATCTACCAAGGTGTCCTTGTCTTAGGTGTTGTGACACCAGTTAGGCATCTGGCCTCAGCGGGGTGATTGCAGGAAACAGAGTTAGGTGCCTAGGTTCTCTGTACAATCACTGGGGACAGTTAAGCACCTCCAAGGATGATCCATACAAACTGGTGTGGTGCCAGAGGACTGGAAGAGGGCCAGTGTGGTTCCCATCTTCAGAAAGGGGAAGAAGGAGGACCCGGGAAACTATAGGCCAGTTAGTCTTACCTCGATCCTGGGCACGCTTTTTGAGAAAATTATTCTGGCACATATCCACGAGGGGCCAGCAGGAGAGGTCATGCTTAGGGGCAACCAACACGGGTTCATTAGTGGCAGGTCCTGTCAGACCAACCTGGTGGCCTTCTATGATCAGATCACCAAATCACTAGATGCAGGGGTAGCAGTGGACATAGTCTTCCTGGACTTTTGGAAGGCCTTCGACACTGTCTCTCACCCTGTTCTCATTAAGAAACTGGGGGACTGCGGTGTCGACACCCACACAGTCAATTGAGTCACCAACTGGCTGGAGGGCCGCACCCAGAAAGTGGTGGTGGATGGGTCATTTTCGACCTGGAGGGAGTGGGCAGTGGCATTCTGCAGGGCTCGGTCTAGGCTAGATAGGCTAGATATCAGGAGGCGCTACTTCACGGTCAGGGCGGCTAGGAACTGGAACCAACTTCCAGGAGAAGTGGTGCTGGCTCCTACCCGGGGGGTCTTTAAGAGGAGGTTGGATGTACACCTTGCTGGGGTCGTTTGACCCCAGTACTCTTTCCTGCTATGGCAGGGGGTCAGACTAGATGATCTACTCAGGTCCCTTCCGACCCTAGAAACTACGAAACTATGAAACTCGTGCTGAGCACAGGGTGCACATCTGAAGTTCCAGTCCTGTCTGGAGTTCAGATGCTTGACTCAGGGCTTATACATTAGGTACTATGCTTGACTCAGGGCTTATACATTAGGTACTACATCCACTCAGGATCTCAATCTCACAGTCCTATTCCGAGAGTGAGCACTTAGTTCAGCAGGACTGTCTTTTCATGACAGCAGCAACAGCACCCACCTTTTGTATAATAACCTAGTGGTTAAAGCACTCACCCAGGAAATATATTACCTGGTCCTTGTCAGACTAGGAGGGTTCAAACCCATCTCCTACCTACAAGAGAATTTCCTAAACCCCAGGCTATAGAGTGTGCTGCTGCTGAAGCTGAGCCACAGTGCAGCCAGGAACACTACAGTGATGGGGCCAGAAAGAGAGCAGGCAAAAAGGACCCTATCATGGTAGCCTAGTGGTTAGGGCATTCAGCTGAGAGATCTGTTCCAGCTCAACAGGAATATTTCTGTTTTATCCACAGAATATCTAATGTAGAAAATCATAAGCCATCTTGGGAGCAGACACTAAGAACCTACACTCTCCAATTGCAAGGGAATTTCTGGGGTGGCTTGGAGTAGGGGAGGCTAGAGGGCACTCTGTGGGCTGTCCATTAGGCCCGTGTGAAGCAGCTGGTGTTCGCTTCAGATTTGGATTCGGCTGATTTGGGGGATAGTGATTCAATCTGGTGATTCGAATCACTGTCCCAAATCAATTCAGCTAAATCT